AGGTCCTCCTGCAACTGCTTCCTCCGTCCTGCTGGGATCTTGATCGGCTTGATGGAAGTTGCGTAGTTCACCATCTTAACCAGAAAACCTCTCGGATCACTTGAAATCTCACGGCCGCGGAAGGTGAAGGGCAGCTCGCTCCACTTCCACTGGAACGTACCCAGGACCTTCGGCAAGAGGTCCGACAGCTGCATGTCCTTCATCCTCGCCACCAGCACGTCGTCGACGTGCGAGACCGCGATGCCCTTCAGCTGCCCGTCCATGCGCCTGTAGAAGAGCGCCGGCTCGAGGCGCGACTGAAGCCAGCCGTCGGACAGCAGAGCGTCACGCAGCGCTAACCAGAATAGCCTTGCTGCCTCAGCAAAGCCGTAGATGGCCTTGCGGGCTCTCAGCAACTGGCCCGCAGCAAGGCCAGGCAGGCCTCCTCGAGGCTGCTCCAGGTAGACCTCGCGCTGCAGGTTCTGCCCGTTGAAGTAGGCGTTCTTGACGTCGCCCAGGGAGAGGGTCATGCCCATGGCCGCCGCCAGCGTCAGGAGCAGCGCCTCCGCCAGCCGTGAGGCAGTGGGAGCGTCTCGCCTGAACATACCCAGCAAGCGGTCGCGAAAGCCCACCACGACCAGGCGGCTCTTCGCGAGCAGCGGCAGAGGGGCACCGGCCTCATCATACTTCCCGTCGTTCTTGTCGGTATCCACCCAGCGCATCGGGATGATGATGTTGGCCTTGTCCGCACGGATCGACTCACTCTCATCCGGCGGGATCGGCTCAGCCGCATCGAAGTCCTGCCAGGATCGCCACTCTGCATCACGGCTGCCACCTCGATCCATGAACATCCGGCGTTGCTCCTCAGGCAAACTGCCGAGCTTGATCTCCTTCCTACCAGGCTTCTTCGTCAGAAAAGCGTGCTCGAAATCATTCCGCATCAACCCGAAGATGAACTCCTCCTTGCCAATGCCCTCCTGGACAAAGAAGGCCTCATCCTGCTGGTAAGTCTCAAAGCCGGCCTCCATGAACTCCTCCAGGTCATTGTCCAGCACGAACTTCGCCGAGTCGACAGGCGCTGAGAGGCTGGATCCTGCAGTCCCCTGTCGGATCGAAACAGGGACGTCGTCCAGCAGGCGCCGTCGCTTGGCCTCCCGCTCGCGGCGCTCCTCAGTCTCCTCTGCCTCCAGGAGACTCCCAGGACGCCGATGCCGAGAGGCCTCCGGCTCGGGCTCCGTCTGCACCCCGTGGGAGTCAGGGTGCCAGTCATCGTCGCCGTCATCTCTCATGATGTCCTGCATCGCTGCGTCGAACTCCATCGCGTCGAAGTCCAGGTCGGGCGGCACGGGCACGTTCTCAGCCCCCACTGCTGGGGCTGGCGCCGCAGGCGGCTCGGGCGCGGCTGGAGCCGCGCGAGGAGCCTCCGCCGCAGGCGGGGCCTGAGGCGCCTCCGGCTCAGGCGGAGCCGGGGCGGGCTGCGGCTCCTCCGGCGCCCCTGCCTGCGGCCCGACGTCCATGCCGCTCTCGTCGCCCTGCTCAGCGGGCTCCTGCCCCGCTGCGGCGGGGGGCCTGGGCCGACCTCGCAGGTCCACGAAGCCGCTGCCGCCACTGACGGGCGCGTCGTGCACCAACTCCTGCTCCTGTGCAATCGATCTCCAGGCGTGGATCTCGTGGCCGGTCGCTGCAGCCAGGTGCTCCGGGCTCGCGAGCACGGTGAGGCCACGGAAAGCAAGCCATACTCCGTGCCGTCCCTCATGTCCGATCACGCGCGCCAGCCCTCGCCAGTTGTCTGGATGCTCTGGTCGATGTTTGACTGGCTGCGCTTGGTCGTAGAAAAGTACCCACTGGCCAACAACGAACGGCCCTCTCGTAGGTCGTATCTGTCGAAGCTCCGCTCGTCGAAGTCGATCCTCCGTGTCGGTCTGGATGAAAGCCATCCGGCACTGGGTCCTGATCTCCACCTTGCGGGCAAAGCGTGAGCCCGGCGTAGCAGCTGCCACCTGCTCGCCCACACGCTCCACCTCGGCGTCATCTGCGAGGCTCGCCGGGAGTCGGACATCCCGGCCAAGGACCCAGAGGTAGGGGCTGAAACCAGCCCGCCGGGCCAGCGTGTTCTTGGCCCTGTTGCACTCCGTCACTGCCGTCCTCATCTCCTCAAGGCCCGCCACCTGCTTGTCGTGCACCACCCTCGTGAGCATCGAGTTCCAGATGCCGTCGTGGCGCTCCATCTTGCCGATGTGCCACGGCGAAGCCAGAGCGGCCGAGTCCAGGCGCACGCCCTCCTGCTCCAGGTAGTCCGCGAACTCGCCCAGGAAGGACCGCGCGCGGTCCACCATGATCGCCTCCTCCGGCTGGCCAGCCCAGGAGACCCAGCAGAGCTCGTAGAACTTCCTGACCTCCGAGGCCTTGGGGTTCTTGTGAGTGTCCTCCAGCAGGCAAACCACGTGGAAGTTTGTCCCCATACACATGATGCCAAGGAACTCCCAGTTGTTGCCGGCGCTGTCGACATTCTCGAAGCAGTCCATCGCGAGCAGCACGTTAAACTCGTCGACCCTCGGAAGCTGACTCGGACGTGGGATGCTGGGTCGCTGCACTCGCCGGCAGCTCTCGCAAACAAACAACCTGGCTGCCCTCAGCGCCACCGCCGTCGCCTTACCCAGGCGCAACGCCCTGAGCAGCGCTGGCCGTGAGGGGTGCCCGAGGTTCACGTGCACCCGCTCGATCGCCCTCTTGACGGCCCTCGGCAACAGCTCCCAACGTCGCTGCCTCTCCCGTGAGGCGTCCCGCTGCTGTGCTGCAGCCGGCCCCTCGGGCAGGTCGCCCCGCTCGTAGCCCGCGAAGTAGAAGACCACCACGTCGTTCTCGAGTAAGTGTCGTGGCAACCAGCGCCGTCGTGCTTGCAGTGACTGTTGCGACCAGTCCTCAAAGTCCAGCCTGAAGAGCTGGTCGCCCTTGAGCGTAGTGACCATCCTGAGCGGGGCGTCCGCGGCGTGCAGCTGTGGCTGCGCCGTCTGGAGCCGCTGACCCCCGCGTCTAGCCTTCACCATCTTCAGCGGCTCGCTGATGACTCCTCCCAGCTCCTCCAGGAAGAGGTCCGAGCCCCAGATGATCGTCTCGATATCCTCGCCCATCTTCTCCAGTAGTCTTCCATGCCAACTCCGGAACGTGTCCAGCTCGGCGCACAGCTCCACCGTCAGCAGCTCGAACTCGCCGTACTGTGTACGTCGTCCCCGGCGGAAGCCCAGCGGACGTCCGCCAGGAGGCACTCCGCGCTCGCGTCGAGCAGGCGCCCGGCCGCGCCTGGGCCTCGCGGGAACCTCGGCCGGTGCCTCAGGGGCCTCCGCTGCCGCCTCGGCAGGCGGCGCGTCCTCTCCGAGAGGCGGGCCCTCCTGGTGTGCCTCCTCTGGCACAGGCTCTCCTCGCGGCGGGGCCCGCGATCGCGGACGCTCGTGCGGGAAAGCATCCTCCACAGGGAAGGCCGCATCCATGGCCAGCGAGCTGCGGTAGTCGATCTGCGTCTGCTGGAGCACGCCGCGACAGAAGGCCTTCGCGAGGCCCACGGGGTAGGCCGCCGCCTGCTGCGCCCGATAGCCACCCGAGTTCCTCCCGAGCAGCTGCTGGTGAGCGCCGGGCGGACAGGCACAGCGCTTGCTCAGCTGGTTCGCCACCGCTGCGCTGTTCGTGAGCCACCCTGTCGGCTTCTTGATCGGCTTGCCCGTGTCCCTGTCGCAGGCTCCGTAGGCACATTGATCTCCACGCACAAAGACAACACCTTCCAAATCCCATAAACGTATCAGGATGCCGTCATACTCCCAAGAAAGTGCTGTCAAAGGCTGCTCTATCAAGAAATACCGTCCTCTCGCATGCACACATCGAGATACCCGTCGAACGAGCAAAAGATAACGACGAGCACTCCTGCGGACTTCATCCCAGTCTACACCCTTGTTCATGTTGGTCATCAAGGACCACGGATGACAGGGAAAAGCCAACACTGTGATGTAAGGCCAGTGCAGGTCGAGGATTCGGTAGAGTAAGGCCCGCCCAGGGCCTTTGAGCAAATCGTAGTCGGGAGAGTGGTCCACATCCAACGGCTGAGACTGCATCCGTCCGTACTCCTTCGCACCGTAGCGCGTCAGGATGTGCTCCCCACCGAACGGCTCGAACACCACCGTGGTCTGGAAGTCGGCAGTCACGAAACGCTCCGCCTCGAACCTTGGTCGAAGCAGCACTTCCCGTAGTCGACGATCCTCTCCACGAAGCCCACGCCAGGCGGACTCGAGCTTCTTCCGAGTCGTCTTGGAGAGGATCCCTGTCGCGTCGGTGGCCAGCACACCGCGATCCTTCGACAGGAAAGCGTGGCCGACCTCCTCTTCGACTCGGATCTCCTCGCCGTCGGACTCCTCGAAGGCCGACTCCTTCTGTGACTGCGCGTAGAAGAACTCCGAGTCCCTATTCGTCGAGATCGCCGTCGCTGATCTCGAACTCGGAGCTGCTGCCGATCGGTGACCATCATCGTCTCCCCAATCGTCAAGCCGTACTGCCAGGTGACCGCCCACCTTGATCAGCTGCACGTCCACGGCGAGCGTCTGCAGCTCCATCCGCATCTCCCTCAGGTGGAGCACGGCACCCAGCGCCTCCTGCGACGCCAGACTGACCAAGAGCGGGGTGTCGCAGTCGTCCATCTCCGCGCTGAAGATCACCCCGCGGCGGCCGCCAAGGGCGACCGGGATCTCGACCACGCGCCCCTCCTGCTTCTTGCCGAAGGCCGAGGAGAAGCTCCTCACGCGGTCCGTCATCTTGATCTCGAGGCCACGGGGATGCAGGCACCTCCTCTCGAACAGCTCCCGCCAGTGCTTGCCGTGCATGCATCTTGTGCAACCGGTGTCGATGAGCGCCACTGGTACGTCAGACGTGTCACTGTCTTCACTCACCATAAGCACTATCTCCAGAACTCCTTCCCCGGGTACTGGGCGCTCGTGGCGCCCGTGAGGGGCCCCTCTGGGCCCCGGTGTGGAGTGTGCTCAGGCCGAAGACGGCGGTGGCCGCGCCTCGCGCAGCCTCTGCTCGCCCTCGTTGTAGTTCAGCGTGCCCTTGCAGCTCGGGAACTGGCTGCAGCCGAAGAACCAGCCGCCCGTCCGATGGTTCTGGCGAGCTACCAGAGCCTTGGAGCACTTCGGGCATGGCAACACCTCGTCGTCCTTCATCGTCGGGAGAGTCGTGCTGAGGCCGTCGCTGACCACGCTCGCACTGTCGCCGATGTCGCTGCCCACGAGCTTGAAGGAGCCGATGTCGGAGCCGCGGTCCGAGCTGACGAAGAAGGCCGAGTCGTACTCGACGTCGTCCAGCACGAAGAGTGTCGCATCTCTCCGCTTCTTGGCACTGGTGCTGCTCGTCGGGCGTGGGCTGCTGCCCGAGGCCGAAGGACTGCTCCAGGCCGGGCGACCCAACGCCGCTGCTCGACCACGTGGATCAGCTCGACTCTTAGGCTTCGCCGACGGCTTCGGCCTCTTCGGACCCATGGGGCACTCTGGGTCCCCGGCCCAGTGGCCGATCTTGCCGCACGCCCCGCAGTGCGTGCGCTGCTTGTCCTTCGCGATCTCCGCCTCGCGCTCCTCGAACGTCAACGTGCCCTCTGCCTTGAAGAAGCCGCGCTTCCTCTGGAGGTCCCGGACCTTGGCCCGGGCAGTGTCGTATGCGGCGTACGCGTTGTTGATGGCCTCGTCCTGACTCGCCCCGGCGTCACTGGCGATGTCATCCTCGGCCTCGCCATCCTCGTAGGCCTCGTAGACCTCGTCATCGTAGTCCTCGTCCTGCTCGTCCTCCTCGTCGTCCAGGTCGTCCGCCTCGGTGTAGTACACCCTCGTCTGCTTCTTGGACTTGTCCTTGCCGCCTTTGCCTCCGCCCTTCGAGCGTCCGTGAGGATGAGGCTGTGGCAGCCGGGAGGTCTTCTCCTGCAGGTGGAGGTCGTGGTAGTTCGTCTTCAGTGTGTTCTCGAAGGCCTTTGTCTCGTACTTATTGTCCGCCACCATCGTGACCAGCCTCTTCTGGTCGTCCGTCAGCATCGCCCCCTCGAGGAGGAAGTAGGCGTAGAGGTCGTCGCTGAGCTTCGTCCCGGTGTCCAGCTCCGTCAGCTCCTTGTACTTGTTGTGGAACGTCCTCAGGTACTCGACGATCTCCTGGCCACGACGACGGCGGGACCTCTTGAAGAAATCATCGAACTTCTGCTGCTTGCGCACCACCGCTACTTTGTCTAAGCCATCGAGAGCCTCGATGATCTTCTGGTGCGAGCCGTCCTGGGTGAGCGACGCCATGTCGTCCAGCAGGGGCTCCACCGCCTTCCATGCGCGGCCAGTGAGGCCTCGCGTCAAGCGCAAGCCCAAGTTCGCCCTCTTCTCCTTGCCAGCCTCTGTCGAGCTCGACTGGGTGCTGTACTCAATCATCACTCTCATGCGGTATTCTCGTAGAAGAGCTATGTTCTCGCCGTCCCAGTGCGGGATGCCCTCCTTGTCGACAAAGAGCTCCTCTGCGGACTCGTCTGTCGAGCGGGCCATTCTTGCCGCCGTAGATCGAAACCTGCTCCGCGACCAGTTTGAACACCGATCTGCTTCCCTGCTGCTATCAGTGTGGGCGCACCCCCTTTTGCACCAGCCAGCGCGCCAGCACAGGCTCCACGATCTCGGGCGCGGGCCGCCCGAGAAGCAGTAAAACCTGGGGCCCCAGGCTTGGGCCCACAGTGGTTGCGGGAGCACGGGAGAGGGGCAGAGGGAGAGCAAAGGAGGAAAGGGATAGGCGGGTTGAGGCGAGCCTGGAAATCTTCACACAACACATTCTGAAAAAAACAAGCGTTTCGTTCGAGACATCCTCAACAATTACACTACACCCGCGCTCCCAGGGCCACGATCCCTCGTAAATTACGCTACGTCAGCGCTCCCAGGGCCACGATCCCTCGTAAGGGCTCCTGGGCCCTCCTGGATCTTCCTTGGACCTCTTGGGCCCTCCTGGGCTCTCCTGGAGCCTCCTGGAGCTTCTCCTGGGCCCTCCTTGGACCCCCTGGTGCCTCTTGGAGCCTCCTGGGTTCTCCTGGGCCCTCCTGGGCTCTCCTAGGCCCTCCTGGGCTCTCCTGGGCTCTCCTGGAGCCTCCTGGGCCCTCCTGGGCGAAGTCAAGGTCCGATGCCACCCCTCACGCAGATCCGCGGGGTCAGGGTCCAAAAACAAAGGGCATTTGCCACATTTCTGAAATTCGGTACCACCCCTCACGCAGATCCGCGGGGTCAGGGTCCAAAAACATTTGGGATTTGCCACATTTCTGAAATTCGGTGCCACCCCTCACGCAGATCCGCGGGGTCAGGGTCCAAAAACACAGGGGATTTGCCACATTTCTGAAATTCGGTGCCACCCCTCACGCAGATCCGCGGGGTCAGGGTCCAAAAACACAGGGGATTTGCAACATTTCTGAAATTCTGTGCCACCCCTCACGCAGATCCGCGGGGTCAGGGTCCAAAAACACAGGGATTTGCCACATTTCTGAAATTCGGTGCCACCCCTCACGCAGATCCGCGGGGTCAGGGTCCAAAAACACATGGGATTTGCCACATTTCTGAAATTCGGTGCCACCCCTCACGCAGATCCGCGGGGTCAGGGTCCAAAAACACATGGGATTTCTGCTATTTCCGAACTTATGCAACTTCAAGAATCCAAAACTCTGTTCCCAGCGCCGTTCCGGAGGCCGCGGCACCTCGTTATTTATCGAGCGAACGCGTTTACCTCGTTTTTTATCGTTTAAAGTCGATATCGGAAAAAAGCGGACTTCACCTGTGAAATATCGAGGTTTCTCTCAAGGCAGTAAAATTCCAAGGGCACGATCTGCGTGAGGGGTGGCGAAAAATTGCCTTCGTCCTCACAATTTCAATTCGCCGGCCCCCTTCGACCTCGTAATTCATCGCGCAAGAAATTCGCCGGCCCCCTTCAAGTAAAAACCGGGGGGTAAACCTACTAAAAGAGAACCCTGGGCCCAGGCCCTTTCCGGGAAAAAAAAGCTCCGCCACTCTTGGAAGAGGAGGAGGAGGGTGGAGGAGCAGGAGGAGGAGGAGGAGGAGGAGGAGGAGGAGCACTGGAGAGGACTGTGTTCCGAGAGGCCGCAAGCTGCCCGAAAAGCCCTCCATCGCGATCGCACATCGCCTCTCAACGCGAGGAGGCCCACCCCATCGATCCCTCGAGGGGCGAGGGCTCCTCCTCTGGGCCGCCGGCCGCGGCCGAGGGGCCCCGCTGGGCCCGCCGCGAGTTCGCGCGCACGCAGGCGCGCTGCTGAAGCAGGCCGCCCGGCTGGGACACGGGGCATGGGACGCCGTCGCCGTCGCGCTCGCCTGCACGCCGGGGAGGGGGGTGGAGGGGGGGGGCGCTGGAAGAGTGGGGAGGACAAGCTAGGTGCGCTCGCGCCATATCTTACGTCGGGGAGGAGGAGGGAGAAGGAGGCCGATGCAGGAGGAGGGGGGGGCCGATGGATGAGGAAGGAGGACAAGGATGGAGGGGGGGCGCCGTCACTTTCGTGCTCGGGGTGGGGGGGTCGAGGTTCGGGTTCCGAGGTTTTCGGATGGGTTCGTCGGTTCTCGTCGGCTTTCCAACTTGGACATGCGTTCAAGCAATTGCGTCTTGCCGAGGGCGTTCCGGGGATGGCCAGATGGTCCCGAGCGGCTTCTGTAAAGCCGAGCTATGGCCCCAAAGCCAGGGGCAACGCTACGAGAGGCAGATGGAGGAGGAGAGGGGCGCAAGGATGGAGAGGGGACGCCGTCGCTGCCGCGGAGGATGCAGGAGGAGGAGGAGGAAAAGAAGGAGAATGAGGACGAGGAAGAGGAGGAGGAGGAGCAGGAGAAGGAGGAGGAGGAAGAAGAGGAGAAGGATGGAGGAGGACCGGGGGTTCAGGTTAAGAACGCTGGGGGGAAAATCAGACAACGCCATCCATACGGCGAACCGTGCTGTATATATATATATATACATACATACAGATACATATACATATATATAGATATGCATACACCTTTGTACCTGAAACCATATTTGCACACATATATGCGTGTGTGCCCTTGAGGACAAAGTGCGGATTCCAGAAGCCCTGACCCCAAAATCATTGTCATCTTTTGGGCGGTAGACTTTTGCTCCCGCCAGCTCCCGCCGGCCTTCCGCCAGCGGAGGCGGCCTCGTTTTACTTCCACCGCCATTTCCGCCGATGAAGAGATGGCAACTCCTTCGACCCTCGACGGCGAGGCCCGCTCCAGAACGCCTCCTATGGACGAACGGGACAGCTGACTGCCTTGACCTGCGCGGGGCGCCTCGCTGGCCCACCGCGGGCGAAGGAGCGCCCCGCATCGGGGAGATCTTCCGTTCCCGCCTTGGAGACCGGGGCGCAGCACGACTGGCCGACTCCTGCGGCCGCAGGGCGAGCCTGCGCAAGGGGGAGCGCCAAGTCTGCAATCCGCACGGTGAAGCCCTCCAGCTACCACCCCCTCCTCCCCCCCCGTTCACAAAGCCTACCGCGACAGACGAGCTCCCATCCGGGGGCGACGGGGAACGATGGGGCGAAAGGGGAAAGGGGGGGCGGGGAAGGCGGGAAGGAGGGACGGGGGGGAGAGCGGGGGAGGCGACCAAAGCAAGGAGGGCGGGGGCGGCCCCCCGCGCCGCAAGAAGCGGGGGGCGCCTCGGACGAGGGAGGCGCGAGCCGAACTCGAATACGCAAGCCTGTCATAGTGATTAAGCCCGACACGCCACATACGCGCCGACAGTCAACAATCATGATGTAGATACTCTTCTGTTACAGCTTTCAGAATGTGATCGAGTGTGTCACAAGACTCCTGGGACAGCCAAGTAACCCTTGATATGTTCTTGATCTCATACGAATTGGATCCAATGTTGGCCAGCCCCACTCTTCACTAACTGCGAACGTCGCTGCTTCGTCCAACTGATGGATTCCTAGGTTTGCGTCTGCTTCCCCGCGCGCTTGTGTTTCACATCATGCGCTGAGCCGTCCAGAACACCATCACCAGGAGAACGCATTTCGTGCCAGTCGCCGCTTCGATGCATAACCCAAGCAATAATGCATTATTCGAGCGCGAACTGCACGCCTTGTTCAGAACTTTTGTGATGCATTCGCCTCATATTTCTACCGGGGAAACGCCTCCTACATCAAGAAAGTCATAAACTATGTCCAGCATGTGTCCAGCTGCAATGTCGGCGTCCTGGGTGGGTGTTTGTCGGAATCTGTACTGATTGATCTTCAACGTGGCCGCCTTCGCGATCAGAACTGCACTGAGTGCATACGTGCTGTCTGGTAGGGTTCTGTAATCGCATAAGCCCCCCCTCTCATCACACTGCCCTCTCGTCACTCTTCTCGAGGCCACAGTCCTTTGCACAGTACTACGTGCCAATTCGCGCGGGGGACGTCAAGATGCCTCCCAGACGGCACACCATGTCTCCAAGGCGGCCCACTTTGGCCTCAAGACCGCCCAAGATGGCCTCAAGACGGCCCAAGAGATCTTCGAGACGTCCACAAAGAGGCCCACCAGCCTTCACAAGAGGGCTTCGAGAAGCAAACATACATGGTTACCCTTAAATGCTTCCCAACCGTCCTGTGGTGTCGGGTCCAAGTTTTGAAGAGAAAGTGCCCGCGTTCCTTCCTTCTCCCCTTCCTCCTCAACCACCCTCCTCCCATCATCACCATCATCATCAGCATCGTCATCATCATCATCACGATCATCGTGATCGTCATCATCGTCGTCGTCGTCGTCATCGTCACCATTGGTCACCACCGCCCCATTCGGGCACACCCCTCACACGCTTCGTGGCCCTACAGGGAGCTCCATCGAATGCCCCAGTGGGAAAGTTCGCATGGCATGGCGGCCCCGTACCATGTCGGCACACCCCATACATGTTTCGTCGCCCCATAGGGAGCTCCATCGGAGGCCCCAGTGGGAGGGTTCGCGTGCCACCGCCGCTCCATTTCGGCACACCCCGCAGACGTTTCGTGGTCCAATAGCGGGCTCCACCGAAAGCCCCAATGGGAGGGTTCGCATGGCACCACCGCACCACTTCGGCGCATCACTCGTTTCGTGGCCCTATAGGGAGCTCCACCGAAGGCCCCAGTGGGAGGGTTCGCATGGCATGGCGGCCCCGCCCCATGTCGGCATTGCCCATACATGTTTCGTGGCCCCATAGAGAGCTCCACCGAAGACCCCGATGGGAGGGTTCGCATGGCACCACCGCCCCATGTCGGCACTCCCCTCACATGTTTCGTGGGCTCACAGGGAGCTCCACCTGAGGCCCCAACGGGCACCACCGCCCAATGTCGGCACACCCCTCACACGCCTCGTGGCCCTATTCGCCGGCCCAACGGGCCAGAGGCGTGCTAAGATCTCCGGTAACTACCTAACAATATTTTTTGTTCGCGCGCGCGGGGCGGCCCCTGGGGGGCCCCGCGCAAAAAGTACCCCGGCAAGGTCCCGGGACACTCCCGGCAAACTCAGGTCAGAGATGGTTTTCCTCCTGGGTGCAGCCCTCCACGCTCCCCGGAGCGCTCCAAGAGGGCCCCAACAAGAATCCAACACGGTCCAAGAGGGTTTCGAATCACCGAACGATCGGCCCAAGACGCCCAACACGGCCTCAAGACGGCCCAAGAAGTTTCCTAGACGTCCCACGAGAGCCCCGACCCTTTCCAAGAGAGCCCCAAGAGGCCACCATCATTGATTTCCATTGGGTTTTGCAAGGTTTTTGGCTTCCTCGCCTTTGCGCGTTTCCGAAGCTCCAAGACGGCCCAAGAAGCCTCCAAGACCACCCCAAGACGGCCCAAGAGGCCTCCAAGAGAGCCCCAAGACCGCCCAAGAGGGCCCCACGACAGCCCAAGAGGCGCCCAAGACGGTCCAAGAGGACCCCAAGAGGGCCCAAAGGGGGGCCCAACATGGAGACCACGAACCGAGAATCCGATCCTTCCGCTCCAAGAGGCCACCTGGAGTCTCCAAAAGGCCCCCAAGAGGCCCCAACAAGCGACAAGGGGCCCGAAAGAGACCCTAAGAGGCTCGACAACGACTCCCGAGAGTCTCCAAGAAGCCCTCGAGAGGCATCCAGCGAGATGACAATGAACGTCCACGAAGCCTCAGAGCCTCAGAGCGCCCACGACCCTCCAAGAGAGCCCCGCGACAGCCCAAGAGGCGCCCAAGACGGTCCAAAAGGACCCCAAGAGGGCCCCAAGAGTGCAATTCACAGCCCAGAGCCTGCCAATCTAGAGCCTACTTACCACAGATGGCCCCTAGAGGCCGAGCGTGACATATGTATAGGATCAGACTCCACAGGAGCCTCTTTTATGTATCCCTGCGTATCCCGGCGAATCGGGCCCCCTTTAGCCTCCAGGTTGCAGCCAACCTTGCTTAGTAGGCCCTCCGAGATCCTCCGAGATCCTCCGAGATCCCCATTATAATATCCCAGAACAGGTTCATCCGAAACCGTTCTGGCTCAAGCCTTTGCAGCGTCACAGCGACGCTGGACTGACTGGTGTGCGTCTGGGAGACGCAGAGCAGAGAACGGCCCGCCAATACAGATCCTGTTCATCACCATCGTGCGACCAGAGTCGCACTGACATTGCCCCAGATTCCCCAATATCAACGACCTCACACACATCATCGAGAGAGACGAGGGATTAGTATTCTGGTTTGCTATCTTGTGAGAAGGGAGATCAGTATTCTGGATGGTATCAGGGCAATGGTCTATCAGCGGGACCATTGCATGGTAGCGGAGCAATCGCTCCACGGACATAGATTCACGGACAGATTCCACGCACTATGGCGAAGAATAACGGAGACGATATCGTACCGAAGTGGAATGGAGATCTCACCACGGTGGATGACTACGAAAGAGATGTGAAGGCCTACATACGAGGGATCCGTCGAGACGAACGCTATGTGTGCGGCCCACGATTATGGAGACGACTCGAAGGCCGAGCGAGACAAGCCGCAAAGGACGTCGACTGGGACCGCATCGAGAAGGACGATGGCGCTACCGAGTTGCTCAGACACGGTCGACAGAAGCTCGGTGCTCAGCCCATCCAGGACGCAGGGAAGTATCTTGCCAGATGGATCTTTGATCTACGGCGGGACACCGGAGAACCGATGCCGAGCTACATCAGCAGAGACGATGAGGCCTATCATGACGTGGTCAAGGGGTTCGACTCCGAGTATTTCAAGAAGCAGCGCACAGCCCGACTCTCGGAGAGAGCCAAGGAGTGGAACAACCTCTACGGAGAGCTCAACTGGTTCCTGTACAAGATCGAGCAGGAGGGCCCGGAGGACGCTGCAGAGAAGGCCAAGGAGCTGAACACCTCGCT